TCATACCTTATATCCTCTCAATTACTTATACACTTACTTATAAGTAAATGTAGTCATACACTTCCGTACTCGAAGAAAAGCGAGCGTCTACCCTCTGAGTTATATTTATGATGTACGAGTATGTATATTTATGTACGTGTAGCCATTTTTAACCGGCTCAATACCTTCACACGAACCTTTCCATGTCATGCAATTCAACGCCCACATCTAACGAAATGGCATAAGCATTGGGAATATGAATGCTGAAATAAATGCACATGTACACACTCGTATCTATGTATGTCCTTGCTTACTTCCCAAAGTATGGCACTTACCTACCTTACATGTGTTGTTTCAATTTTGAAAATCATTTTCTATAGAATATATATGTATGAATGCACTCACACCAATTAATAATGTGTACATATGTGCAAAGCTGGCACTAGCAGCAGGTATGTCAACAGCACGGATGTCCTTTCTGGTATATCCTTTTCACTTAGGCATATGTCTTTGTATGTGTGGCATATCCTAATGCCAACTTTTTTGGTTTAGTCTTAAACCCTTTCAGCATTCTCATTTTTAATTGAAATTCATCTGTCTATTTTGTTTGCTGTGAGCGAATAAGATTTCCTCCACAGTCATTAGTTAAAGCACAGTGAAACTTGTATGTCATTTATGCTGCGCATATTCAGCCATTGGTTCGTTCATTCCAACATAAGGAATCTTTTTATTCTTTGATTACTCTTTTGCTTATTTTCTGTTTTGCAAAAAAGAAAAAAATATCCTTTATCTTTTGCTTATATCTTTTTATTTCATTGTCGTTAATTAGGCGAGGGCTTGCTTGTTCATTGATAAGTGTTGTTTTTCTTCAACTCCCATTAAGATGTTTCTTCTCTTTCTGAGTTCATTAAAAATGAATTTTACTTAAAATTTTGTTGTATCCGGGGAAAGTAAAGAGAAATTGTATTGGTACAAAGAAATTGGGTGAGCCTAAAAGCTACTCTGAAAAGGTTTGGAATCCCCGCCAAAGGATTCTCCAAAGAATGAGCATATGCTTCATAAGTCCAAGTTAGACCTAAGCTATGGCCTATGCTTCAATGACTGCTCTACGAGGTAATGTGGAAAAACTAAAAGTAGAAATTTCTGAATTTATGTTCTGGAAGGAAAATTAAAACTATGTGGAGGAAAAAGTTTTAGATATTGGTATAAAGTCAAATGATAAATATTTTTGCTAAAAGTTAATGGGCTTATTTACAATTTAAGAGGTGTGATAATTAAGTAATGAGACTGATTCCATAAAAACCGTATTTTTCAAAATTATTCTACAACTTATGCCATCGCTTTAAAATTATTCCCCTTGGGCAGCTATCCAACGATTCCAGCGCGTTTTTTATGCTTCGTAAAAATTCTGGAACGCTTCGACTGGGATTTCTGCGAGTACCGTCGTCACGACCGCCTGGATGTCTTCAATCTACTCAAAATGAGTTCCTTTGACCAGCGACTTTATTTTAAGGAACAAAAAAAGAATCACAGGGTGACATATCGGGCGAATTAGGCGGTTGTTGCAAAACGGCGATCATTTTAGAGCCCAAATACTGGGACATGCTGTGGGCGGTGTGGCACAGCGCATTTTCGTGATGAAATTTCCAGTTGCGAGCGATGTCTGGTCGCGCTCTGTTTACTTGTTTTCGCAATCTTTCGAGTACTTGGCGATAGTAGACTTGATTTACGGTTTGCCCCGGTGGGAGAAATTCCTGTGCACCTCGCCTGGTATCCCACTCCGCGCCTCGTCTTCCTTAAACTCTTTAGGACATCGAAATACCTTGGCACGACTAAGAGCACTATCACCATGCACTTTTACAATTTTAACGTACGCTTCCGAAGCCGAGCACCACGAACACACGTTTACTCGACATTACCCAGCAGGCGAACTAAACAATCCAGAGCAAAGGCGAATATATCAATGGCGAGAAGAAAAATGCCGGGAGAAGCGAAAGGAAGTTTCATGGCGGCAGGGTTACCACAATCGCGGCAATATAATCATTTTCATTACTTTATTGTCACCTCTCGTACAATTGAAAAAATGTGCAACGTTTTATTAATTTTTTTTTCTCAAAGAATGAAAGATTGACCTCACCGCAGTCTAAGAACTCTCGTCACAATCCGTAGAGAGAAAAAACGTACTGCCTACCTCGTAGCCTTGTGATCGACCACAACACGTGCGGGCCGGAATAGGTACCTTTGCGCTAAAGAGGGAAGCAAGACGTATATGCAAAGCAAAAAAATAAAATAAAGCCACCCAAATGCGTTAGTTAAAATAGGTGGACAAGCTAACCGACAAAAAGATACGGCGGCTTGCAATAGGTTTCTAGTCTGAAACGTACACATCTAGGAACTAATGTGTAAACCTGATGTCGGATGTCCAGAGTATTCTTGCTGAATAGAGCGAACATTTCTGCAGCCTGGTAAGATTAGGAACACGGTTCCCTCAATGATGACCACAGAACAAGCCTTTCATTGACCGACTATGAAGCGGTTTGAATAGCAATCGCCAATTTAAAAACAACAAAGCGACGATGGCCGATGAATTACCGGTCAAGCCGATACGGCGTTGAATATCTTAGAATGTGCATCCAACAGCTTATTTGTAAAATGAAGAAAAGCTCGATTATTGAAACCTAATTATGCTACGCCAATCCACTAAAATGGCTATCTCACAGTCTGCAACAATTTCCATGCTCCTTAATATATCCGAGCCGTTCGATAATAAGCGAAGTTTCAGACAAAGTGACTTCTTACCGTGTGACACCTTTAATTTAATGCAAGAGGAAATAATACGAGCTGCAGATCTGAATATCCACTATGAGCTGTTTCTCTACGGCTACTCCTAATTCGGACCCTTACTATGTGGAATGTCTGAAAGAAGCAATCGCCCAGAGCGCCCTACTTTGGCCAACAGGAAGGGAATTGTGTTTCATCATGACAATGTCAGGCTACCAACGTCAGAGAGGCTCCGAGAGCATTTTTTGCCACAACAGGAATAAGGGTTTCTACGACTGAGGCATAATGTCATCACCTCCAAAATGCCAAAAAATTGTCGACCATAATTGACAAATAATTTCTAATTCTAACTCTCAAAGATTTCCACTTTGCTAAATCATTTGCAGCAGTCTATTAAGTAAGTGAAGTCCAAACGTTGAGACAAACTCTAGAGGAATTTCGCAGAATTCAACTCAAGCGAGTTCATGTACATCAGGCCAATAGGATGGCGAGTTGATAACCTAGCCAAGTCCTAAGATCCAAAAATTATAGAAAATTGATTTAAATAACAATTAAGTTAAATTTTCTAAATGCGGTCGCCCCTCGGCAGGGAATGTCAACCCCTCCGAGGTATTTCTGATTTGAAATAGAGTTCCTGGTAAAAAACCATTGGCCGTTCGGAGGCGGCTGAGTATAAACTGTAGGTGTCTCCACAAATTAGCGGTTACAAAGCGCCAATTATATATACAGTTACGTGCAACTAATTAACAACAACTTGTCCCTATATATAATATTATATGACTTTTCCCGTAAAAATCTTAAGTGTAAAAATGAAATTTTATTTTAAATTCTCTTCTATCAAAGTATGGTCAGATTTAGCTGTTGAAAAATTTTGAAGTAATTCCGTTATTTTGAAACAGTTAACTTTTTTTTTTTTGCAAGGATTGGCCATTGTGCGGAGACATTGTAAAGGCCCTAAATATTTCCAAACGTATGGCTTTTAATGCGGTTAAGTATCTTAACAAGAATAAAACAACAAAACTAGTACCAAAAAAGAAGAAAGGTCGGAAAACGACTATTATGGAAGACGAGTTACTAGTCCGCGAGTCAAAAAAAGATCCCCACAAGACGGCGAATGAAATTCGGGCGACGATTTTTGGAGAAAATCCCAACTGTTCATACCGTAAAAAGGCGATTACGTGAGGCCGGGCTCTTTGGAAAAGTTTCAAGGAAGATGCTATTACTCTGCAAACGTAATCGAAGTTAACGCTTCGAGTTTGCAAAGAAATACCTTCTTTGGGCAGCAAACGAAAGGAAGCGAGTGCTGCTTTCTCATGAAACTAAGATAAATAGGGTTATGTCCAAAAAGTTGGGCCCAAACTACACCAGGACAACTTTAAAACATGGTGTCGGCTGTATAATGCTTTGGGGTGCCATGTCATGATGAGGGGCTGGACTTATTTGCAAAATCGATGAGCGCATGGATCAGTTTAAGTACATATCAATCATGAACAACATAATATAACCATATGCTGATGACAATATGCCTGCGACGTGGATTTATAAGCAGGATAACAAACCAAAACATCCTGCGCGTAACACAAAGCAATAGTTTCGGGATAATATGGTACCTCCATTGGAAGGGTCTTCATGCAAATTTGAAGAAAAGAGTTCGTTTCCATTAAGTTGGAAATTTCCAGGATTTGTACGAAAAAGTTACACAAGCATAGAAAGGAATTCCAAAGGACATTTGCTAAAGTTTATTGGAGTCAATGCCGCGTAGATGTCAAGCCGTAATTGTCAGTAAAGGGTTCGCAACCAAATATTAATTTAAAAAGTGAGATAAAAACAATTTTTCAAAAAACAAAGACAGCGTTGTTGATTAGCTGCACGAACTATTTTTGAGTATGAAGTCGTAGAAAGGCTTTAGTTTATAAAAGCTCTCTTATAACAAAGAAAAAATTATTTAATTTACAAAAAAAAAACTATGCACAATTTATCTTTAAGAAATTAAGTTAAAATGTTTTCTTTAGAAATAAAATTATCAACCAATTTCGATTTTTCCTACCAGCGTTGTTAATTAATTGCACGCATCTGTATATATAATATAAGAAGAAGCCTTGGATCTGCAGATAAATTCAAAAGGAAGCCAACAGAATAAATTCAAATAAAAATAAAAAAAAAACAAAAATTAAAATCTTGTAATTTACTTACTCAGTCACCTGAATTGTGTTGCTTATTCCATAATTTCTCTTTAACAGGTGCCGAATGGAAACTTTTGACCGAAGATGAAAAACGCCCATTTATCGATGAAGCCAAGCGACTTCGGTAAGTTCAAACCCCAAGCACAGCAAATTAAATTGCGTATTAAGCTTGGCTTAACGGCAATTATGCTAATGGAAAACCCATGCTTACCTAGGTATAACTGTACATACGAGTATGTATGTGTATATACATACGTATATGTAAAAATGTTTGACTTCCTACTAATTCCCCAAAATATGCAAGTACAAGAATTTGTAAAGAATATTTCTAAAAGTTATCCTCTCTGATTATTTCCAGTGCAATGCACATGAAAGAACATCCCGACTACAAGTATCGTCCCCGGAGAAAACCGAAAGCGTTACGACGTGATGGCTACCCCTATCCGATGCCGTATCCATCAGTACCCGTAGAGGCGTTACGTGCAGGTAATCATTACAGTATAGCTCGAGGTACATACATACATACATCATTAGGTAGTTGTGTCACAAAAAGTACAAATGTTCACACATATATATGTGCATGTACAATGGGTACGTGTAAATGTGTGTGGTTTTACATAAAGTGGATAAAGGCTCTTGTGTGGGGAATATGATGGAACCCATTTAATGTGTAATTAAAATGCAAAGTTTCTGCTCAAATCTCATAAAATATGTCTGCAAATGTAAATATGTTTCGTAAAGAGAGTGCTTTTAAGAACTATTTACAAGGTACGAGGGACGGCTGATAAGTTCGTGACCTAATGTAGTTGGATATGATACGTCATCTCGCCACTTATGATACTAATTGCTGGACTTATTAGGTTCATTAACATTTCGTTACTGGAACAGCCAACAACACTATTTCAACGTAAACTGGAAATTTTAGCAATTTGGAGCAACCCGTTGTGATTGAAAAAACGCCAAAAAAAAATTTAACGAGATGTCATCAGTACTTCAGTACTCTGCCTCTTCAAATACGTTGGTGAAAAAATGGGATCGCAACAAAAGGATCTCAGCCCTCACCCGAAGCACCAAGTGACGGTCGTGACCGAAGAAAATTTTCAGAATATCAAGAAATTAATACTGGCTGGTCGAAGAATTAAACTGTGGCAGATACCAGAAGAATTACAGATTAGCAAAGAACGTGCTGGAGAGATTTCGTCTGGACATTTGAATATTAAGAAATTAGTGCGCTTTGGGTACCGCGAATGCTAACGCCACTCCACAAGCCGCGATGATTGGAGAATTGTAAAGATTTTTTGGAGTTGTGCCAAGGTAATCGATGTCAAATAGTAATCGATGCAGGGGATAAAAAAGAGGGAACGCCACCACAAAAATTCAAAGTGCAAAAGTCGATGTCGAAGATTAAGCGAGGAAATATTTATAATTGATGACCTGCCAAAGGGAACTACAATGAATGGTCATTATTACGCGGGAGGCAGCCGTACAGAAAGACGTGGCAAGTTGGCGCGCGGAGTGCTGTTTCTTCAAGACAATCAACCGGTCACACCGCGCGGTTTGCGAAGGATGCCTTAAGAGCTACTGTATGTACAGAAATCGGTCATTCAACGTGTAGTTCGGGCCCGGCTCCCAATGAATTTTCCTCTTTTTTTTTAAATTTGAAAACGAGTTATGGGGACAAAGATTTTCACACGTCAGTGATATTAAAGCGGCAGTATTCATAATGTGAAAAGTGTATTTCACTTAATGGAAAGTATACTGGAATACAAAAAAAAAACATAAAGCTATACATTTGCTTCATTAAGCGCTTTAGGTGGCGAACTTTTCAGCCGTCGCTCATACACACGAGGCAATTAACAAAAGTTCAGTCATTTGGTGACAGGGTGGGTCAGGCGAAATTCCACCATCAAAGCAAACAGAAGTTCGCCTTAAGATTATCAAAGGGGGTTTCGGCGTAATTTATAGCTAATAAAAATATTCAATGCATGCCAATTTGTATATGGAACGGTTATCTCTAAATACTATTCTAAGTGTTCCGAAGCTTCTAGACCAAAATCTTCCACTGATGACGTCACTGTAGCTTTGGTAAAGTACAAAATTGACGAAGAACCACTATTGAGACGAGAAATCATTGCTAATGAATTGGGATTGGATGATATTAAGTAATCATCTGGTATACAGAGAGAAATATGCTTGACGGGTACCGCGAATTTTAAATGAGGCCCAAAAGGAGGCTCGAGTGCATTCTGCTCAATTTTTCCTAAACAAACTGGAAAATGGCTTCTCTAGCAACTTTAGTAAATTCGTTCCTCTTGACGAATCTTGGTTCTTTGATTTCGGTTCAGAAACCAAACGGCAGTCCATGGTATGGAGCCCAACAAGAGCAAACCCACCCGTAATATCAAAGCAATGAAAATCAACAGCAAAAGTAATGATCTCAGCTTACTTCAACCGATCTAAAATCGTAGCTGCTATTTCACTGGAAAAGGGTCAGACGGTAACTGCATAATGGTACACCGAAGAGTGCTTACCAAGAACTCGTACGGGTTAGGGGTTTATGCGGTAAGGCATGCTTGGCGTAAAAGACGACTTAAATCCAATAGTTCTTTATGTCGGAACGACCCGGATATTTTATCCGGTCAAGGACTGTCACTCCCGCAACGTTACAACAACAACAACAGTTAGAAGTTTCCCAAAATTTGTTGGAAAACAGAAGAAAAGGGTATTTTCGGCGCTACTTTTTACATCATGACAACGCGCCATCCCACACAGCTGAAATAACGAGTAATTTAATTGCGATCTCTGGGATCGAAGAAATACGTCCTGCACCATATTCAATACAAAAATTTTTTTTTTCTTTTTCTTTTTCTGGTCAACTTACCGAACTTTTGTTAATCCCCTCGTACATATATGCATAAGTGGCAGCAACTAAATCAAATTCTTCATAAAACGGCGAAATTTACATAGAATATAATAATACTTAGACATTATTTTATATATCATATTCGTATAACGGTAAAACCATTTAGAAACAGAAGAGCCACTATAACAGCAGACGTACATACATGTGAATGTACGTAGCTCCCACCCTTACCTAGAGAGCACTAGTAGTTAGTCGTCGGAAGTAAATTATTTGCAATAAGACAAATTTCTAAATGACACGCACGAATGACAACAATGTCGAGCATCGCGCATATCCCCCAATATGTGTTGATGTCATGTGCCATGTGTGTATGTACTCGTATGTAGGTGCATATGTGTACATTGTAAAAGATTGATTTTATAGAGCATTATGTGCACTACCCTTATAAATATGTATGTATATATGTAGTAAACACATAAACACATCATTAAATAATAAATATTCGTTGAGTAAGAACATATGCTAAAACTAGTAAAGTCATCAAGTTTAACTATGTGCATAAACACACACACACACACACATACTCGGACATGTATATGCGCTCTTGTCTTATGTTCTATAGCCAGGACATTGCAACAGCAATAAAAAAAAAAAACTGTGTTATTTTCTAAAACTTCACCCTCTGTTCACTACGCTCATACATAAATACGTCTCCCGTAAGGAACTCCAAGATTTGCGCTTAATTCACTATTTCATTAGATATTCAACTTGTGGATATTTGCGAAGTGTGAGGATTTAAATTAGCATTATTCATTGTTGTAAGCTTTTTTGCGTCGTTTGGTAATAAATAAGTCAGTTTTCAAATATACACTTCATATATAATATATAAGAATGTACATACAGTTGCCCACAAAATAATAGCAGTGTCTAGTATGAAAAATGTATTTTTTGAATCACATGCAAACGACGCAGTACAATAACGGCACAAGTAACGGGATACTAGCATAAAGACACTTTTATTGCAATGATCGCTATTCTACTTCAGCGTCGCTAGTTCTCGGACTAACTTGTTATCGCTTTCCCCAAAATAATATAATGAGTGTCGGATATTTCATTTTCAAATAATTCTTAACCTAAAAACTTCTCAAAAAATTAAAAAAGTAAGCAGAGTTCCATTGTCTATCATCAATTATTATTAGTTCTTATTATTTTAATTGAAGTATGAAAAAAATTAAACAAATGGACGAAAGTAGAAAACATCAATTTCAGACGATCGCAATGTGGTAAGCTACTGCAAAATTAATCCCTTTGCCTCAGCCAGAAGGCACATCCGTGACGAACCAACTTTGTCAGTTAATAGTGAAACTGTTAGTAGGCGTTTGGCGCAAAACAAATTATTCGCCAGAAGTCCACGAAAAGTGACCCTACTTAAAAAGAAACACGTCGAAGTCCGTATATAATTCGCCTTAGAGCATGTCGCCTGGCCCAGGACTGAATGGCTTACGTACCGCCATGTGATCGGATGAATCCAAGATTGCGTTATTTGGTAGTACAAGTTCTAGAAATTTTGTCCGGCATCCATCTAACTTGGAATATAATCCCCAGTTTCCAAAAAAAAAACCGTTAAACACGGCGGCGCTAAAATCATGGAATGAGATATCTTTTCATATGGTGGTGGTCTAATACACTTAATAGGGGGCATAACAGATCAACAAGATAATGACCCTAAGCATACCAGCAGGTGCGCAAAGGAATGTTTGATGGTCAATGGAAATGGATGGCCATTGAAAACCTATGGACCGATATAAAATAAAGTGTTGCTGGACAGAAACCAATCAATTCGAAGAATTTATAACAGCTTATGAAACAGAAATTAATCAATTCGAAGAGTTTATAACAGCTTATGAAACAAGCCTGGGAAAAAATACCATTAAAACGTTTCCAGGATCTCATTGACTCTTTGACCTGGAGGTGTGATGCTGTGTTAAAAAGCCGATTTTATTCAACGATCTCGATGTTATGACTGCCAACAGTGACGTGAGGAGATATTTCGTCTTGCGCTTGTTCATTACCAGACCTATTCGCAGCGTTTCTCTGTCGAAGCGAAGTCGATCAGCCTTAGGTCCTTTGCTTTGGGCTGTTTCGTCATGAATTTTCTGACGATTTTGCCAAAACAAAAATAATCCTCTTTTCCCACTCTGGCGGTATAGTCGCCAAGCCCATATTTCACATCGTCTTTTCTTCCATCGGGGTGTGGACACAAATTAGCGATATGCTGAAAAAATTTCGGTTTGATGCGAACCGTGGCTAGACGTTCTTTCACGGAAGTATTCGGTGACGGAGCCTCTCTCCCACAACGAATCCGATACCAAATTTGCGCTCCTTTATATGGCCGCTGCAGTAAATGTCCTTTATATTGCTGCGGTAGTAAATGTCGTGGTAGGACCAACATCCAAAAATTGTAGAACATTTATTGAAAATAAAAAAATAATTTAAATTTGAGAATGTCAACCCTCTGAGTGTATTTCTGACATTAAATAAAACTCCTCATAAAAACCCATCAGTCGTTCGGAGCCGGCTTAGTATTAACGAATTGGAGGAGGAGCTCGGCCGAAAATCGTTTCAGCGGTTACAAATGTCACAAGAACCCACCTTCTTCTGTCAATGTCCCGTCTACTTCTTGGAGGGAGGTGATGTAAGCTTTTATTGTTATTAGCACATCAATCAGTTTGTCAGCGGCACCTTCCCAATCAAGGGATCAGACATTTCAGGTGCATTCCCTCAAATCGTGATTCTTAAAACATTTGTGAGGTGGGTATCTCATACGAGGCTTTGTTTTATCTTTCATTGAAATATATTTATTTTTTTATGTGGAGAGTTCCCAACGCAACGCATAACCGCAGGAGGATTCGCCTTTACTTTTTAGCTCGCCTCTTAGCAGATGATTATTGGCTACCCGGAGAATACTTGGTTTCAGTCTGGAAGTGGCTATGAAGCTATATGAACTATATGTTAAAGAATAATTTCTGGCCACTCTCGGGTTAATGACAGTCAAAAACTTTCGTCACTTGCGTGAACTTCTGGCCACATTCTCCTGCATATTTACATATGTGTATGCTCTGCCTAAAAAGCACGGCTGGAATGTGTATAGGGAATATAGTCGAATTTCAATAAAGTACTTGAAGGCAAATGCGTATATTTGTATGTATGTACGTATGTATTTGTACTGGCTTACAAGCGTAGCAATTGCAGTAGCCATAAAGTAGCAATTTTAGACATTGTTTTAATGAAAAAAGAGTTCAACCCACCAAATATTATTATTATTTTGGTATGGCGCTTGTAATTATATACTGTTAAAAATTTTGTTTAAAAAACGTTACGATTATTTTCTTAAAAAAAAAAAAAACAAAAAAAAAAAGACGATTGAGAAAAAACTTGCATCTCCGCCTTATTTTATTAAAGAAAAAATAAATGAAATATAATTTTAAGAGCAAAACAAAACGCTTGATATATAAAAAGCTGAATCACAAAACAATTACATGAAGTCAGCAATTTAACTCTTCTACATTTGACGGCTTCATTTTGATAGGAAAATTATTAATAGTGAATTAAAAATTTTGATTTTTATCTTCTTATTGTACTTTGAAGAGGTTGGCAATTATTTTAAACAATGAAATAGCGCTACCAGTATTCTATAATTTATTCAAAAAAAAAAAAACACTTTACATTCCTGCTCTACGCATTTCAGGTATAACGCCAGGTTACTTTGCGCCCGGTCCAGCAGCGGCATATCACTTGGGCAGCCATCTGACACAGACGAATTCACCAGCATCACAGGTGAGTTAGTGTAGCAAGCCGAATGCATTGTTAAATGTGTATATATGTATATATAAATAAAAAAAATAAATAACTAAGTGTGGGTATGCTCTTGAGATAACAAGCCTAAATTGCCGAAATGAAGAATTTCAAAACAAAAAAAAGAGTCAGAAGCCCATATTATCTGTGAAAAGAAATGAATTGGGCGCCAACCAATAAACTCAACTAGAGTTTCTTAAAAGCAATCACAACAACAAACAGTTTAAAGCGATTTTTATGCAGTACACTTGGCATGCACCAATTGGTAGAAGCACCTGCTTGGCTGCGTTGTCGGTGTGTCTGTATGTGTGCGCTTGTATAATTTAATCACATAATTACTACGCTTCCACATGCTGCCGCCTACTTTACGCCGCTGACTATTATATTTTAAATACCATAAAAAAAAAAATAAAAAACCGCTGAATGATTTTGAATGTGAGTCTTATCATAACGAAGCCATCGAACATTTCACGTCAATGCGCCGTGTCCTAAACTGCGCTGGCCGATCTATGCTGTCGGTTGCAAATCGTCGTCGCTTCGTTGCCTACATGTAATCCTTTGAACTTTTTCACACCAATTTGCAGCGGACATGGATTTATGTCAAGTCATCGTCAGCTTTGTTATGATGCGTTTTTCCATAGCCAAAGAGCGCCTGCTACGTACACGTATGTATGTAAAAGGGGAACTTGCACTGCAACAGACGAGGCTAAAAGTAGTTTACGACAGAAGTGGAAGTGTGCGTCACTCCATCAGAGCCAACTTGCAATTATTCAATTATTGATTTGATGCAACGGTCCGTATTTAAGGGATATACATAATTTAGTAAATGTGTAAATAAACGAAAGTCTCACTTAAGGTGGTTAACATGTTGACAATTAGGGTAGGACAATTGTAGTTTCAGGCGTGACAAGTATTTTTAATTGTTTCGTACACCTTTCGGACTCGTTCCACATATCAATGAATGCAAACGACATGTGGGCGTTTTATCCTTGACATATTGTACAGGACCTTGTTTGCCAGTTGAGTGAAGGAAGAGTAAACATACAATGTAATTACACATGCCTCGGATCAAGTAAAAAAAAAAATTTCAAACATATACAAACATATATGTAGATATGTAAATTCAATTGGGGGACTTATTTTTTATAATATAGTTATAAATCAGAAAAGAAAAATTCAAAAAGTTACAGCGGTTATAAGCTCCTTGAACTCATAGTGATCTATTTACGACTTTATGATTTTACGCTAAATTGGATATATTTAGACGGATTTAGACGATTAAAACATAATCATAAAAGTAAAAACATACACACTTTAGGAAATGGGTCTTTGACAGCACTTGAAGAGTCTCTCATTACCGTGAAGGCGACATAGCCTACAACTACAAGAGAAGGTATGAAGAATATTAATGATGGTGTGGTAGAGTCCGCCTACACGCTACAGAAAATCATCTTAAAATTGTAAATTATATCATTTAAACAATATTTAGGAGGCGACTGGAGTAGGTACACCTGGTTGAAAATTAAAACCAACAAAAATCCAAATCATATTCTTCGTGAAAAATCCGCTCTTATTCTAAGGATAATCTTGGATAGCATAAGTAAATGGATAAGAGTATTTCGGCTGAGTGGACAATTGATAAATAAAGTCCTCTCTCCGCGAACGAAAACCTAACTCTACAAGCCGCTCATCATACCCGTTCTACTATATGGCGCAAAAGCCTATTTCGAGCGAAATGACTTATTATGTATCCACTTGGAGCTTCCATGCATCGTAGTGAGGTTTGCCTCCCGCCAAATATCAACCAGAAATACAGTTAATAGACTACCAAATAGTCACAACAATACGTGGGGATGGGATAGATACTGAGAGCTGCAGAGGAAAGCAAGACGCATTTGCAGACAAAAAAAAAGAGAGAGGGCAAGAGACGTGAGTATAAAGAGCTTGGGAAGCTGACCAACAAGAGTAACGTCAAAAAATACTGCGAAAAAATACGGCGACTTACAAAAGGTTTCAAGACCGGAGCAGACTCTTGTAGAAACCAGAGGGGTGAGCTAGTGACGAACATCAAGTGTATACTGAACTTATAGAGGGAAAACTTTCCAGCCTTCTGAATAGCATTGAAAATGAAACATCCGGATATGTTGAACTAGAAACTTCAATCGATGATCATTAAAAAGACATGGTGGTGAAGGGCTGTTCAGTTGCAGGCATCAGCTTCTTGCGATGCACACACCCAGTCTGACTTTGTAAACCAAAAATTGGCCAGATATTCATCATGCGCCAAATCTTGGAAAAGACCCGTCACAGACCACCTCTTCGTCGATTTTAAAGCCGCCTTCGACAGCACGTATAGGAGCTGTCTTTACTTCGCTATGTCTGAATTTGTATGCCCGCAAAACTTATCAGGCTGTGTAAGCTAACGCTAGAAAACACCAGAAGCGCAGTCACAAGAAGACACAATCTTCTATAAGAGTGTACATCTGCTGGCGTGTGCCGATGATATTGACATTATCGGCCTAAACAACCGCTCCGTTAGTTCTGCTTTCTCGAGGTTTGATAAAGAAGCGAAGCGAATGGGTCTGGTGGTGAACGAGGACAAGACGAACTATCTCCTGTCATCAAGCAAACAGTCATCCCATTCGCGACTTGGCCCCCACGTCCTCTGTTTTGCCAGCTCCATTCCTCTACGGTTATTTGACAGGATCGTGATGCGCGTTAAAGTCGCCCAAAACCATACGGGTTTCACCTCTGAGTAACGCAGTCATACTGCGGGGAGCTTCGTGAGACCGTAGATGTTTGTTGGTTACCTACTTGGGCATTGGCAGCATGGGGCCACATAACTTGTGGTGCACTCCCTATGGGTATTAAAGCCTGAGCAGGCCCTAAGATGACTCCAACCATTGCACTGGTTGCACCTAACCAAGGTGGAGGAGTGGTAGAGTCTTTTCTAGCACACTAAGCAGAAATAGTCCGTCGGACCAGGGTCGGTTTCGACGCCAGTCCTGATAAGAAGGATTTGGAGCAGCCCAGCTACGAGGTGTTGCTCCGTCCTACTATATGGCGCAGAAGCGTGACTGATGAGGCGACTTCACGAGTATTCGAGAGAAAAGTTTTGCACACTGACTGGCAATGGTGAAAACGCTGAGCTGTACGAACTACACAAGGATATTGACGGAGTTCAGCGAATGACGAGGCAGCGGCGACGTTGGGTAGGTCATGTCGTCCGAAAAGATGAAGGCTTTGAAAGTATAAGATGCAGAACACGCCGCTGGAAGCAGAGGGTGAGCAAGACCTACACTCAGTCGGAAGAATCATGTGGAGGTGGAGAGTGACCTGGTGACACCTATGGTATTTCCAACCGACGCCAAACAGCGAAAAAAAAGCATTACTGGCGCGCATTAATTTAGTTGGCTATAGTCGCGTTAGACGCATAAGAAGATAAAAATTAATTCCTCCTTTTCATCCTTCTTACAACTCTTACAACGACCTCTGAATTGAACTCATAGTATTTCCGCAAGTCACCCTATCAGACATTGACTTATGAAGACCCCTATAACTGCCATATCTTTAAGAAGAACATTTCTTCAAGAAATATCTCTCCTATCAGCTATCTCTGCCAATTTGCAAATCTTTTTGAGAAACCAAGTTCTGTAGAATACGGTTCTAATCTAATCTTGAAACTTGCTGATGTCGCTCCGAATAGATTTAGTTTCTTGAGAAAACACAGCCAACATTTAACATCTAAGCCATGGAAGCACCAATCAGAAATTCAAACAATAACTTTAATACCAGCATCGGATGCGTACATATTTTCTCGACACTTGAAAAATAATTACTTTTTCTGTATTTTTTACTTACTCTACACAAGCCGCATAGAAAAATTGTACTTTTGTTATGACTCCCCTATAATTAACTTGCGCACAAAGGCAGCCTTAACAACATCATTCAATTGGGTATTCAATCGACTCGCAACGCCCGCATATTCATCAATTTCACGTCAAGTTGCATCGCCACCAACTTTACAACTCTGCCTACAGCACAACACCTCAACTCAACTTTTGAAAGCTTCAACTGAGAGTGTAACAATGCAACCGAATACAATAAGAAAGAAAGTCATGGTATTTAATAAGTTGTTCATAAAGCAAATAAGCGAAAAAAAAATACCATTGAATGGTTACAATAACTGTACATGTGTTTATGTGTACGAAAAAGTCCTATGTTTGCAGCGTAAACAACACAATCTGACGAGGACCTGCAAATGCACTTCGTCTGAAGTAGATAAAGTTTATTCATCAATAAGCTAATAACTATTTTCACGTCGAAAGTAATAGAAGTCCAATTCGCACATATGTATGTTCTGTTAATGTGAGATAGAATAAGCAGATATCTCGTCCATCCGGAAACTCCGCTAAATCTATTAATGAAAGTAAGTGACGAGGAGCACCGAGTTTAAAGTCGCCATACAACAGCAGACATCAGTAAATTCTGAAAAGAAGTCACAGGGAGGAGAGGAGAGGAGAGGAGAGGAGAGGAGAGGAGAGGAGAGGAGAGGAGAGTCTATTGAACATAGAAAATTAATTTTTCTACTTGCGGTCGCTCCATGGCAAGGAAGTTCCACTCCTCAAAGTGTACTACTGATATGAAATAAAAGCTTCTCATAACAATCCTTCATTTATTGGAAAAAAGTAAAGTCCTAAAGCGATATCACAATGGTTATATAATAGGCCCCGCATTAACTCAACTCACCTCCCTCACCCTCAGCTGGACTTTCTAAGAAAATATAAAGCCGCTATACAGCACTTTATTTGTAGAAAAGATGCATTAAGTGGCGATCTCTTCCTTCGGGACACCGTTTGCATTCGCTGTACCTGTTATTCGAAAAGATCGAGAGTACATTTTTTATCAAAATATGTTTCTATAATATTGACAACTTCGGAAGCGTATACCTAGATCAATCACGAGAAACCGCTCCAGTAGATCTATTGGAAATTTTTGTATCCCCTTTCAATTTCATTTATTGTTAAAAAAAAATGGCCTTGACACACGAGGAATTATGATAAATGTACATATCCTTTGGATATATAACCATACTGCCGGATGTTAACCAAAGATTCATACCCTTTGTTCTTCTCTAGTTAGGATAAAATGAATTAATCTGGAAGAAAAATGTTAAACAAGGAAACAGGGAGGGCTACGTGAGCTTTACATATCTAAGATTAGAAGCATAAGCTCACATTTATTAGGTATCATCATGCCATAGGGACATCGAAGGCAATGAGATAGCTGCTGAACTAGCTAGAAAGCTATTGTGGACTTAGCAGTATCATTCAGGGAAGTGAATCAAGTCCTAGGAACGCTCTTTCATCACTTTCACTTCTTAGAGGTTAGTAGTACGTATTACCGTACGGATGATCTCAAGTTTGTATCTTGGTCAGACCAACTTCCATTGTAATTAAAAACAAATAATTTTTTTTGCCAACAGCTAACATGACTTCTAATGGTGCGTTAACTGTGGGCGTCGCGTGTCTTCCAATGTGCGGAGAAAATGGATCTCGTTACCTGCGGCTTGTCGGGGTTAAACAGGAAAACACGGTCCTTGAGTGGATGTTTTCCTCTTCATCTGCTCCCACCGGCGGGTATTACTATGTCTATGTCGTACAGCGCAAAGGTAAACGGATTGAGGTATTCGCAGTTACCAATACGCAAAGGACCATAAATAGTACGTAAAACTTTCTGTTGAAAACCCCTAACGCCTACTCATGATCAACCACACTTCTACTTTATATAATAGGACGGCAATGATGAGTGACTTGTAGAATTCGGTCTTTGTTCTTCGAGAGCAACTGATGGGAAGAGTAATTATTCGGTGGATTTTAATGTTGACACTGTTGTTAGTGTTAATACTGTTTCAAAGAACCAAAACCCAAGTGCTTCGCTTCCTTACGCAGAATGAAGAAAATAAAACTCACCGGGTAGTTGTTGAGGGGAGTAATCTCAACATCATCGGCGTACGCCAACAGCTGTACACTATTATAGAAGATTGCACCTTCTCTAGTCAGTTCTGCAGCTCAGATTATTTCCTCAAGCAATAAATAAAAAAAGTCACACGATGAACCCTCGTTTAATATCTAATGTTTCGGGGAGGCTCTTTCCGACTGTGACGGAACTTTTGGTGTTGCTTGACGTCAGTGTACACAGCCGTAAAAGTTTTGCAGGGATGCCAAGCTCACTCACTTTGTTGTTTTTCAAGCGGGCAATTGCTATCCGACCTCCTTCTTTGCCAGGGAATGAAAAAGCTTTTCTGTCGTCATAGATTACCGATTTAGATTCGCCATTTCCTGCTGTTCGATTTAGAAAATAGAGCCTTAAGGCACCGAATATATGAATTGAAAATAAAATCAATTTTTTAGTAATCTATCTGGTGAAGGGAATGTCAACCCCTCCTAATGTATTTCTGACATAAAATAAAGCTCTTCATAAAAACAACCATCTGTCGTTCGGAGGAGGCTTAGTATAAAATGTAGGTCCCTCCGTTTATTACAAAGTCCAAATTATATATATATATACTCATATATATACCTGGTCCTCACTTAAAAAAGTGGTAAGATCGCGAACTATACCAAATGTTCTTCTCCTTATTATAATTTCTTGTACACACCGCAGACGTATCAACAACAGCGTGTCTGTCGTTTATTCTCCTTTGCAGAAATGCAGACACCACCACTTCATGCTTCCAACTAATTGAAGATCCTCCTCCTTCTCTACTTCCATCAGCGGGCTAAAGTTTTCTAAAATACAGCCTCTTCGCCCATCCGGACGTTGACATTAATACTACTTACAAAGAACCAACGGATGTAATGATGGTATCGATACTTTTAGTTGGAAGTATTATCGAAAGAAAGTTTCGATACATACTTTTATCGAAATGGATAGCTTTATAATAATTTAAATACGTAGGTACGTATAAAAAAAAAACATGACATATTTGTGAACTTTTGCCTGAGCTTATACTAGGTGGGGTAAAATGTAACCTCCTTGGAAATGAAAAGAACAGTTTTTTAACTTTTTTTTTATTTCATTCAATGTAATCTCCTTATACGACGATACACTTGTTCCAGCGATTTTCCAACATCTTGCTCTTTTTTTTTTGAAGTGCTCTGGCGTTCGCGTTTTCGTTCCGGTGTGAGCATGCGCGGCACCCAGCGGCAGGACAACTTTTTCATCTGCAGACTCTTGCCTAAAATATGGCGTGTGCGCTCAGTACTAATCATTGTAGCATCTGTTAGCTCGCGCACCTTCACTTTTCGGTCCGTCCTTATCATTTCATGTATTCTTTTTGGCAGTGTCCTTTCTGACCGCATCGAAGGGCCTGCCATTTGATCGGTAGTGGAGTTGCTGCCACTATAATTCTTTTTTCACCCCACCTAATAGGACTTGAAACATTTCTGTTTTAGAAAAATGAATCTTAAGATCTTTAAGAGAGAAGTTAACAGAAAAGTGAAACAAACACGAAATTAATTGTTTTGTAAAAAGTCTACAGATATGCAAGTATATTTATTAAGGATGTACTTTGCCATTTATTTCGAATCAGTTTTAGAACTCAACATCGATTAAATGGCCACCTTCATCCAATACACAAAAATCAGCTGGGAATCTATAAGAATATAATAATATAATTATTATAGATTCTCTGAAGCAGCTCGCATTCGCGCATTCTGCACAAGATTTGCGTGCATTTCAAGCAATGTAGCAGCTATTTCGGCTCGTAAGTTACCTTTTAGTTCGTCTTGTCAAAGAAGAAAATGATACAATGATGGTTTTCGAGCACACTGCGGCCCAAACACTGACTTTTTGATGTGCAGTGGTGTTTCGTGCATGACGTGTGGGTTTTATGGTCCCCAAAATTCGACAGTCTCGTTTATTGACTCCATTGGAGAGGGTCAACTGAGCTTAATCCGTCATCAAAATTTGATCACAAAAATCAGAACTTTTTTCACAAATGAACGATTGTTTTCAATGGTTCTAGATTGAAGTAGCACTGAATAAGGTTTGAGAGTCAGGCACTTTGTCAAAATCGGCTAAAAATCGGCAGAGTTATTCAATGTTGAATTACCGAAGGTCTAGGTGGCGCACCCTGAGTAAATATTCATCTCATACAACGACAGATTTACATTTATTTAGAACTGTCCTTGAACAGAGTCTCGATACAAGCACTTTTTTCATTACTTACTAAGTACTCGGGATAAAGGTATCGAGTACAAATGTACTTGCTGTTGATAGAAAGGTATCGAGTATCAACTTGTATTTACTACTATAGTTTCATCTCTATCAGCAACACTTTAGGAGCACCACTAAATGGTCGTACAGAAAGTCAGTTACCAAAAAAAAAAAATATCAAAATAATTTGTGGCAATTCAATTTGCAAACCCATCACAATTTGTAACTAAATCCTGCCGGAGAGTTTTTCGCACGATCCACTTACAAGCAGCAATAAAAATAAAGATGTGTTAACAACATAATTATACCCCAAAGCGTTTTCGAAAAGTAAACAGTTCTTCCTCTACCCTCGCCTGAAACACAACCAACGCATATGTTGCACAGCTCGAAGCATCCACCCCTAACAACTGCCCGGTCTAACGAGGTCTGCAACACCATAAATAGCAATTGGAGAAATCAGAACGCAAACAAGTTAAGGGAAAACAAAGACGAGCGTGAAATTAAGTAGAAAAAAAAATCTCAATAGAATTAAATTGAAAAGCAAACATTTAAAAACAAATACGATTACAACTGCATTGAATTACACTTCATACTTTTCGCTTGCCTGTTGTTGTAGTTGTTGTTGTTACAGTTAAGAGCCGTTAGAAGGGTTGGGTAACCTGCACGGCGCTTGTTTACATTTCCACTTCATTGGTTAATTGCGGGCGCATCGAGGGTGGCTTGTCCTTTCCAATCGCTTGTTATCCCAAGCGAACAAATGAAAAACAGAATAATAACAATAATAACAAAATTAAGCCACGCAAACATCATACCAATTTACTTAAACGATTTATACTTTATTTTCTCATTGTCTCTTCTTCCAGACCGGGCAAATGGACGTACCGAAGTTCGCGCTCGATCGTAGCTCGTACCTAAGCTCAGCAGCCACCGCGGGCACGCTATATGAGACATCGAAAGCTGCGCAAGCGAGTGCCGCCTACAGCGCCTACTTGGACCCCAGCGTCCTTACCAAGGCATATTTCGACTCGAAAATGTATCAGGATCGCGCTGCCAACTATGCCTTTGACATTTCGAAAATCTACGGTGCCCAACAGCATGGCACGTCGGCGGCCGCCGCTGCGGTGGCGCATCAACAACAGCAACAGCATTTGCTCAATGGCCTCGGTATAGGCGGCGGCGGCGGCGGCTCTGTACATCATAATAGCAGCAGTAACAATAACAATAACAATCATGCCACAGCGAATAACAATCTGGATGAACGTGACAATACACCGCACCTGGACACTGGTGGCAGTGGGGCGAGTGGTGTTGGCATTTCAAGCGGTGTGGCGGATTCTAAGCCACATCTACACTCACCAACGGACGGACAGCTTGATTATTCACAGTATGCACAGTACGGCCAAGTTGGTGGCGCCTCGGTAGGTTTGGGTGGCAGCGTTGTTAGCAACGGTGGCTTGGGTGGCATTGGCGCGGGCGGTGGGCCTGGTGCAGCTGGTGCTGGCGGCGATTTTCGACGTCCGCTAACTGTCATATTTTGACCATCGTCCGTCGAGAGTGAGGAGCTCAACCTGTCCATGACGAATTAGATTTGTGAAGAGAGGAGTTTAGGTGTATATGTTTAATAGTGAATATGATGTACGGTAAATCGAGGAAGTCTCGATACAAAAAACATTAAGTATGTATTTATAAAGACGATTTTATTTTTAGATTTTTAGTACTCAACCGAAACATGATTCAAAAGTATATACCATATATGTGTATATATTAACTTAGTATATAAAGTTAGACATACATAAGTACATATGTATGTAAAGATATGTACGAAAGTGTATTCATGGGAAAATGTGTAGGAAGAGGAATGCCCGCGTGCTGTATTCCATAGCTTATATGACATACATACAAACATTTTATTAATAAAGTGAAGAATGTCGGGGGGACATAAAATATCCAATTTCGTTTTTAAATATTTTCAATAAATCCTTAAATTTAAGAAACCATACATATATATGTTTATTTAGACCTATGTCTTCCTAACTCTCTAGCTGTTCGACCTTGCTGCCTTTGCTAGCTCATATATATACTCGTATGAGCTAGCAGGGTTTTCCCCATTAGAGGTCATATTTTGATATTCAAAGAAAAATCACCTTTTTTGTGGTTATAAATCGACGCTGGCCTATTGGTGTAGTCCTAATCTTTCACGTGGCCACAAAGGAAGAAGTCAGAAGATATCGGTGTCCAATTACGATCACCTCTTCGAGAGATAAAGCGGGGTGTGACAATTAAGTAATGAGACTGATTATATTGCCGCGGTTGTTGTAACTCTGCGACCTTGATATTCCCTTTCCTTTCGTGTTGAAAAAGCTTCGGAAACTTACGATGAACTTGTAAACAACTGCCTTATTCGCCCAATATGACTCCCTGTGACTTTTTTGTTCCTTAGAAAAAAAATCGGTAGGCAAAGGAACCCACTTTGAGTCCATTCAGGTCATCCAGGCGGCCGTGATGAGGGTACACGCGGACATCCCAGTCGAAGCGTTCCAGAAATGTTACGAAGCATGGAAATTGCGCTGGAATCGTTGAATAGCTACCCAAGAGGACTACTTTGAAGGGGATGTTGGAGTTGTAGAATAATTTTGAAAAATATTTATCTAATCAGTCTCATTACTTAATTGTCATACCTTATGTGGTCCGAAATCTTTTCCGATCGCTGGTTTCGTTGCTTTTGCGGCACGTAGCGTTGTCTTGTTAAAAAGTAAATGTTATCCTGATCAATACCATCCGATTTCGGCCATAAAATCGATTTATCATCTCCCGATATCGCAATCCATTCAATGCAACTGTTGCTCCAGCGTCATTTTCGAATAAATATAAAATTCGATGAACCCGCCGTGCCATACACCATAAAAAACAGTTACACGTTGTGGATGGAGAGACTTTTCAAAAATAAATATTGAGGTTTTCGAGTCGCAGATAAGACAGCTTTGTTTATTGAGGTAGCCATCGAGTTGGAAATGGGCCTCACCAGTCAAGATGATTTTTTGATGAAATTATGGATCATTTTCAGGCATTTCAAAGACCCAATCAGCAAAGATACGACGTTGTTGATGAACGGCCGCCAGCTTGAATTCTAATGATAACTGAACTCTATAAACCGTAAAATCCAAGTCTTTATGCAAAATACGGTGTAATGTGCAATGCCTAAAATCCAAAAAACGCGAAGAATGGACAAACCTGGACTACAGCAGCAAATTTTCTCAGTTGCTCTTGAGCAACGTTCACGTGTTTTATTCTTCGCATCAACTTGTCCCAACTGCTCCATTTTTTCCACCAACAAGGTGCTTCACGGCGACCAAACAATGTTTTGTCTTCACGAACCGTCTCTGCCACGTTTTCATCATTTTTATAGTGAATTTTATTAACTTCAACGCGCCATTTTCATTGCTGGCGTAGTTTTTACTTATCAAATGTCAAAATATTACAGCTTTAAAAGTTTCATTTGCAGGAATAGCCTTTCAAAATAAAACCTCTTATTGGGCACCCCTTTATTTAAAGATGAAAGGGTTTGTAAAAGTCCTGCATTGCAATATACCGCGCACAGTGTTTAGCTCAGTTAATGCGAATATTTTGAGAGACAGAGATGATTTTGACATTTGCCGACTCAGTGAGAGAGGCTATCACTCGGTTGATGTGTATAAAACATCAAGTTATTCTTCTTAATGAACGTTGGAAGCGGTTCTTCGTATATAGACGAATCAACAATAGCGCTCCATTCGTTTCTTCTCTTTGCAGCTTGACGTAAATTGGAAATTCACTACCCACTTGAACTTTCCAACGAATCATGCGGCATCGAAAAATTTCAAAGCTTGTCCATTCGGACAACATAAGGTCGTGATGTTGTTGTTGTAACCGTAAAGAATCATTTTTAGCCAATTGAAATTTTGACTCGTTCTGGTATAAAACCTTAACTGTAGCGGAAACGCTTATAATGCAGAAAAAGAAATCCACTATTTTTCCAATTTTGGTATCTCGCGTTGTATAAGACCGATCGGATTTCGCTAGATGGCGTTAGAAAGATGACGTTTTGTACTAAAAAAGCTTTACCGACAGTTTTGTGATTGGTTGATTCAGTTTTGTTAGAGCGTGCGTCAAAGATGGGCACTAGCATAGAGAAAATCCGCCATATTTTACAAATTTTCTTCGATAAACGCGAAAACGCAAGAAAATGTGAATAACGTTTATAGTCCTGATACTGTTACAGCCAATCATGCATAATTTTGCTTTCATTTAATTTAATTAAAGCCTTCAATTTCATGCGAAAACAATGGTTTTCTTTTTTACTATACTTATTTTATTCACCTCTCGCTGCGATCACAGCTTGCCGAGGGTAAATTTTCGAACCTCTAATACGTGTTATATTTCGTACAGATCATTCTTCCATCGTGTAAGATATTTACCATGGCCAATGCGCAAAAAACCATAAATTTTTCATAAAACCCTCGAGAACTTTTACTGACTGCCGTCATTGTCCAGGCTTCTGCACAATATAATAGGACGGAAATTAATAATAACTTGTGGAATTGAGTTTACTAGTTAGACGAAATTGTTTACGACGACTTCGTGATGACTGCCAACAGTGACATGGGAATCAATCCGTAAGTCCGCCGACTCTTCGTTTGATGACAGGAGATTTTTCGTATTGTTTTCGTTTACCGCCAGACCCATTCGCTTCGTTTCTTTATCAAGCCCCTTGAGAATGCACAACCAACTGTGTGGTCTTAGGGTCAATGACATCAATATAATCCACATATGCCAGCAGTTTTACAAATTGAGTGTACAAAGAGCGTGTACTTTGGTATCTTGGCTCTTGGTGGCAATTTACACCCTTGTAGAGACTTTAAAGTAGCATAACCACCTGTTTTGGTTTGCATCCTCATCGTTGTTGGTTTCTTTTATCGAATTACAAAATAATTTATGCAAATCTGCACTTAAAAGGTAAATGTAACCACGAGTGACAACAGAAATGCAAAAACGAAATCGATCAGGTCATCACAGCTATGAGGTCGAAACAAACGCTAAAGTCTCCTACTTTGGATGCTTAAGTTTAGCGGGTATACCAAATTAAAACTTAGCTGCATAGAGACAGCTTAAAAATAGATGAAACTGTAATGTTTATCGATTATTTGCTCACGAGTCATTTGCAAGACCTGATGTTTGGTGAAGATCTGGCCACGACGTTTCCCTCATTTTTACGACGAACATGGTTTCCGTATAGGGTCTGGGAGTCTTGTTAAACTCATTGAAATCTATATAATATTATTTTTACTAAGCACCTCAACTTCGAAGCAAAATTCCAAGTCTCAATACTTGGAGAGTGAAATAAATATACAAGATTTTTCAGTCAAATGAACCACTCAGTGGTAACCTTGGTGCCTGCGAATGGATTTGCTGTAATCTAATTCCTTGATTACATTACTAATTATCATTTTGAAACACCTGAGTTACTTAATCCTTACGAAGTAAACACCCAAGTCGAGAAATGTATTTATGTAACAATAGTACAGTGTAGAGTTTTTGAGATTATTTGGCTATGGATTGTCAATTTTTTTTTTTTTAATTATAATAAGAAAATAAGATATTAAAAATATAATTAAAGAAATACACATACGCATGTATATTTCAAGTAATTAATACACATTTTATCAGTAAGAAAATAATACCATTAAGCATTTATTAACAAAACAAAAAAGAATTGTTTAAAAATGAATAGAGAAATAATAATTCCAAGAAAATTTCCGAAAATGACCTTAGTTTCTAAGTGCAGAGTTATTAAGTGACATAAAGTAAAAATTAAATAGTAAATGTTATTAAATAGAAATGCATAGCATAATTAAAAGTAAAATAACACCCACTCAAAACACACACACACATACACACACACACACACACACCTACAGCTACAGATGTGAACATTGTAATTAAAATTATTATTATCAATAAATGAAAAAATAACATTCAACTGTGAACTATTTACTGGGCCATTCCTGAGGACATGGCGGACTTGCGCTTATATAGGGTTATTCATTTTTATGGGGCTGCATTTGGGCTTCTGTCAGACTTAAATGCCAAACAAAATATGTTTTGTATTAGTTAAAAGTCTAGCGCTTTTGAAAATGGTTCATTAAGGGGCACACCTATCTTATTTCATATTTCGGTAGATTACACCTTTAAAAATAACATATTAAAATTTCAAATCGATATCTCAAATAGTTTTTGAGTTATTGGAATTTAAAGAGCAGCCGCTCGGCAGCTAGGGAGTCTCATTAGCTACGAGTGAAAACGATCATTTTATCTTTAAACGGGTTTTTCTCGAAACAGCATTTTCCGAATTTGCTGCAGTGATTACTCAAAAACAAATGATCCGATCACTATCGAATTTTTTTACGAGTTCTATATATAGTTCTCCGTACAATGACTTATCGATTTTTGATCTGATCAAAAAAACGATTTTGGCAGGCCAAAAACGCCCAGAATTTTTGGTAAAATTCGACTATTTTCTTTAAAACGCCGCCACATTGTCAATTATAGATTTTTTTGTTTTATCGTAGGTCATTGTTCAGACAATATTATCTAGTAGAGAATTCTTTTTTTAGATTCCATCCACGGAGTAGGCCGGAATCACAGCAGCAGGGAAGGACCTTTCTTTCTCGCGCCGTTGGAGATCGACTATCACTTAAAAAATATTTAATTTTTTTCTGCAAAAATTTCACTGTGTATTCTTGAAGCATCTATAAATATATTCTAAAAATTTTGAATTGAATTGATAAAGTATTCTTTTTAATGAAAATTCCCAAAAATCACCTTTTTTTAGGTCATTATACTAGGTGTGCCCTTGTTACTGTAAGTGGCGGCCGCGTTAGGCGAGTGTTTAGCATTGCGTACTGCAATTTGGAAGGCTCAGGTTCAAATCCTGGTGTCGTACTAACAACCAAAAAGTTATAGAAAATTAATTTAAATAAAAAATTGAGCTAACTTTTCTGATTACCGTCGCCCATCGGGAGGGAATGTCAGCCCCTCCGAACATATTTCTGATATGAAATAGCGGCTCTTCATAAAAATACATCAGCCGTTCAGAGGCGACTTAGTATAAATTTTAGGTCCCTCCATTCGTTGGAAAAATATCAAGACGCAAAACCAAAAAAAAGGAGGGATGAACTGGGCAGAAAATCGTTTCAGCAATTTCAAAGCGCCATTATTATAATAAAAAAAATAATAATGGGACAGTTTTAGATCATCATTATCCCATTTATTAACGACCAAGACGAGATAGTTTTTCTGAGACCCCAAAGGGGTCACAAAGTCACTGCGTACAAAGTGAAATTAATCCAAAGAAAGATCGTCCACGGCACTTGAATCACTGACATTCGCATTGGGAAATGATTAGATGATCCACAAGGCTTATTTCGTGAACAGAAAATTCATTCGAGACCCTTATCAAAAGGGACTGTTGGAGTAGGCGTTTGCGCTGGAACATAGATCTTAAAAAA